GCACAGGGAAAAAAACTCTGCCGTTCATTACAGGCAAGTCCCAGACCAACGCTGAGGTGTCCCAGGCAGTGTTCGCTGGTGACATGTGCCAGAGCAGACCACACGTTATGTACTCAGAACCGAGTGTCGGTAAAGTCACCGATCCAACATGGACAGGGACTGCCAGGGGCAGCTAGGAGCCCCTAGCTGGGATTTTGGTTATTGAGGGTTTACAAACATTTTACTGTTGCCAGACTCCTCCCTGCGTCATTCCATTTGGCAATGCCCCATGGTATCATAGCCCACGATTTAGGGAGCTGTGATCTACTTAGATTACTATCTCTGTCTGGCTAACTCTGTCCTTGACCCTCTGGCCATACCTACTTCCCCTTTAGCCTGTGGGCCCCACAAAGGCAGAAGAGTGTGTCTTTCTTAGTCACTGTCGTGTCCCCAAGGATAGCAAAGCACCTTGGGGTACTGGAGGTCTGTGACGGAGTAACTGAGTCTCCAAGAGTTTGAAAGCAGTTTGGAAAACAAACAAACAAAACCTCGAGCTTCCTGTTTGCTTGGGTGAGTCTGGGGAAATCCTTGTCTCTCGACACCACGTCACTAGCTGCCCGGACAGCTTGTCCACCTAGCCTGGGCAAGGAGCGGGAGAGGCAGAACAGAGAGGAGTTGGGGAAGGCAGAGGGACAACAGCCTACGTTGTCTGAGGGAGCTTGTGAAAGGGGGTGCTTCTACAGAGGGCCAAGATGGGGACGGAAACCAGGTGCTCCTGGGCGGACGCAGGCTGACCGGGGCTGTGCTGGCCCACAGAGATCCCCAACTCTCCCCTGTGGTCTCTTCAGTGCCTGCCTGTTTTTCTGCCCCATCCCCTGTGCGACTCTGGAGCTTCCAAACCAACCATTCCTCCTCCACCACCTCTGCCTCCTCTCCCTCCCCCCTTCCCCCCCACCCCTGCTTCTCATCTTCCTCCTCGCCCCTTCTTCCCACCCCACCACCCTGCCCCCGTCTGCCTTCCTACGCAACCCGCCAGATCAAACTGCCCTGCTTCAGGGGGGTTGGCATCAAAAGCTCAGCTCAACCTAATGCCTCCTTCACCCTGCATGCCTCAGGCATCCAGGACTGGTGCCTACAGCAGCCCCCACCCCCCACCCCCCACCCCCTCCACTCCCCACCCCCCCACTGACCCAGCTCTCGCCAGCTCCATGGCTGTCTCCAGAGGGCCTTCCCAGCCCCAGGTCCTCCCAACAACCCTGCTGAAATTGGACAGCAGCCATCCAGATGGTCACCCTGGGCCAAGACAGCCCATCCCAGCACAGAGGAGAGGGCGGCGTGCTATTAAGCTGTCCTCTGTGCGCCTGCTGTGGAAGGAGACTTGCTTGGCCTATAAATAGATGTAGCATCCTGTACCTGGCTAAATCCCTAGACCTTGCCTCAGGTTCCTGACAAAGGACTGGGCTTTGCATGACCTCTGTGTCCCAGGTCAGGACCCAGAGGATTCTGGGAGCTAGAGTCAATCCCACCCAGGTGTGTCCTGGTCAGTCACAGGCCATCTGTGTAATAACTTCACCTTGGAGACTGGTGTCTCTGAGCCTCGGTCTTTAGAGACTTCCTTCCAGGTGGCTGGGAGCACGAAATGACGAAGGGTCTTGAAGCTCTTGCCTCTAGTGCTCCCCTCACAAAGGCGCTGAGGGGAGGGGACCAGGGCTCTTCCAGTCTCTTTGGGTATTTCTCCTGACCTCACTGCACTTCTGGGTCCCAGTGCTAATACACAGAGTCCACTTTGCGTAGTCACTGGGACACTTCTAAAATATCCTACCTCCAACCAGATACTGCAAAACTAGAGGCTGAGCGCCACAGTCTGACTGCTGGGCACCTCCTGTTGGCAGCCAACCTCACAGAGCATGTCCCATGAGGATGTTATCAGTTTTAACATCCCCATTGAAACAGGTTGGGTGTATTGATTGGTCGGTTTGCTCATTCATTATTTCATCATTTCCGAATCATTCGTAAGAGTCTTCTGCTTGCCATGGATTGAGTGGATGCCTAGACTGAAGCCCCTGGGGGTACCTGACTCAAAGAGCTTCTAGTCCAAAGAGGCTGGGTCAAGTCAACCATTTACACCCTAGGGAGGTGATACAGCTGCTAGGGATGTCATCCTGGGGTCTCCCAGAGGATACTGACGCTGGTCTTAAAGGAGAAACACCAGACACTAGAACCAAGCTGGCCTTGCCAACGGAAAGGGTCTCAAAGGCAGGTGAACACGAGCCAGGCCACCTCAGAGGCTGAGGTTGGGAAGGGAGAGAAGGTCCGGAGAACCCAAATGCCAACCGCCTGGCAGCCTGGTGCGCCTGCCTGGGCAAAACCAAACCTGACAGAGAACAGAGCTCCTCCAAGTTCACGCTGCAACAGTAGGCACTCGACTGGGACTGTCCTGAGCCCAGGGGCAGTCAGTCAAGTCAGGCCACTGAGCAAGGGCGATGCCTGCAGTGGAACTTCCACCAAGGTGGCCTGGCAACATTCTGTGGGCAAAAGGTGGGAGGGGGGTCTACCAAAATGTCTGCGGGCTTGCCAGCCCCACCTGGCCTCCTAGGACGTCATCAGAAGGCAGGAGGTGAAACCCTGAAGTGAGCAGAGCCCGTGTTAAGACAGCCCACTTAGAGTTGTGGATGGCTAGAACAGGATCTTGACGTTGACCAGGACCCTTGGACATGAAGGACTGGACTGAAGTCTCAGCTGCTGGGGGCTGGCGCCGCTGCTACAGGGAGACAGAAAGTAACAAAGTAGCTAAGACACACGATGAGGGCAAGTGGAGAGGACCTACACAGTAGCAGTTCCTCCTCCCGCACAGGAGGCACATCCCCCGAAGGCTGGCAGAGGGACCGCACCCCGCCAGTCTTGGAAAGGGTGGCAGAAAGTGTCATAACGGGACAGCAGGCAGATGATGAGGGGAGCACAGAGGCCTGGAGGCAGGGAGGGGTTCGGCAAACGGAAGTCTAATTTAATTGTACTTGCATGGGAAGTCAATGGTTTTAGGCGGCAGAGTGATTTGTTCTAAATTACGGATTTAAAAGATATATTAAAAGATGGGTGTGCAGCCGGGTGGTGGTGGCGCACGCCTTTAATCCCAGCACTCGGGAGGCAGAGGCAGGCGGATCTCTGTGAGTTCGAGGCCAAGCTGGACCGACAGCCTCCAAAACAATACAGAGAAACCCTGTCTCGTAAAATCAAAAAAATAAATAAATAAAAAAGATGGCTGTGCTAGCACCTACCTTTAATCCCAACACTGGGATGGGGGAGGCGGGCGGAGGCAGGTAGATCTCTTAGTTTAAGGCCAACCCGATCAACATAGTGAGTTCCAGGTTGGCCAAGGCTATATAGTGAGACGCCGACTTTAAAAAAAAAGATTATTCTGGGAGAATGGGTTAAGAAGAGCAATAACCTAAATGGAAAGGCCAGGGGGGCAAGGCTAAGGGTGATCTTTAGGGAAGAAGACTCCCCTGGCAACTAACCTCCTCTAAGGGTGCTGCAAGACAGCCTCCCACAGGACAGCCTCCCCACCCGGATGCCCCGAGAGCCTTTGCAGCAGAAACATTGATGCCTTCAGCAGGAGGCCCTAGTGTCAGCACAGGCAAGGTGTGGTCATTGACAAGGGCAGAAGTGGAAGCCGTGGAGACAGAGGAATGAATGGGCCCAGGAGCTGCTGATTGGCTATCTGAGGGAGACAGGAAGTCAAGGGAGCTGGGCCTGACACCTTCCACACGGCAGCAGGGCCCCCTGTACTGCATATCTGAGGATGGAGGGGATGCCCTAGAGTCTGCCACATTCATCAGTGCTGAGAGTTGTATAGATGACAGGACAGAGTGACAAGGAACCATGGTGGGGGGGGGGTCTTCCGCTGGGACACCGGACACCAGAGACTGCAGCCTCCCCACCTTGAGAGTAGAGCTGCTGCGTGGGATCGTAGCCCTGCCTTCCTGCTGGCAAACCAGGCATGTCTGCCATCTTGGAGTTTTGCCCAGCGATGCAGTTAGATGACATTAGACTCTGGGCACTGTTGGGGATCCCTGTCCAGAGAAACATCACGGGAGGTCCTACATGGCCCTCACTACCATGGAGCCCGCCCTTCCAGATTGTGTCCTGCATCAGAGCAGGAAAACCTACTGGTCACACTTGGAGAGTGATGTCCCCAAGATCTGCTTCCCACACACCTCAGCTGGAGAGAGGCCACGGCCGATGAGTTGGATTTCCCATCGGAAGTGGGATCTACAAATGTCCTCTGGGGGAAGCCAGAGCTTTACCCTGTCCTAGGAGCAGCTGACTTGGACAGCTTCCTCATCCCTGTAGGCTTCTGAAAGCCAAGAGCCCAAACAGTAACACGATCCCCGCGTCCTCCCTGGAAATCCGGCCGGCCAGCCTGGGGTGGCCCTGAGTATTGGTGTCCCAGCTCCAGAAGAGCAGTGCCCAGAACACATAACCTGACCCCTATTAGGGGAAGTAGCCCTAGCATAGCCACCACTGCCTATGGACATCTTTGGGGACCACAGTACAGCCCCCAAGATATCAACGGAGACCACAGGACAGCAGCCTCCACCCCAGCAGAAGTAGGTCTCTGCCTCCGACTGGCCTTTCTCCTGCTAATGAGAATATTTCCTTCCCTTACCCAGCTCATTCAGGAGTGGCCGAGCCCCGAGTTTGCGCTAGATTACAAGCCCTTGCTTTCCCAGTCATCAGAAGGCAGCACAATGATTTGTGCTAGCATCCCCGACTCAGTAGCTACCTGGCCCACAGCATCTCTGGCCGACAGGGGCCACAGTAAGGACCACAGATGCCGAGGAGCCCCCAAAGCATTGGTGATGCTGTACGAAGTGAGTCAGGACACCGCTGCAGGAAGAGGCAAAATAAATACAAATCATCAGATATCCAACCCTGGGAAGGATGGACGGGGCAAGTCACCTGTGCTGAGCTCAGGTCCCTTTCCATCTCAGGGAGCACAGAAAAACCAGAGGCTCCCCGGGTGTGGTGGCACATACCTTTAATCCCGGGACTCGGGGGTTGAGGCAAGCAGGTCTCTGGGAATTTGAGACCAGCATGATCTACATAATTCCAGGCAAACTAGGACCATACAGTGAGAACTTGTGTCAAAAACAAAGCAAAACAAACAAACAGACAAGCAGAAGTTCCTCTGGGGATCCTAGCCAGACACTGGCTGAATCTGGAGCCAAGGGTTTTCCCAAATGTCAACCTTGGGCCTTATGGGATAGGCAGGCATAATAACCGGTTATTAACCCTGAAATTGGTTGTTAACTGAAAGAGGGTTGATGAGGAGGGGCGCTCAACCTGACCTCTCTCTTTCTGACTTTCAGCCCATGACACGGGTCTTGTGACCCTACAAGTTGCCTTCAACAATCAGATCATCTCCAACTCGGTGGTGTTTGAGTACAAAGCTCGGGCTCTGCCCACACTCCCTTCCTCCCAGCACGACTGGCTGTCATTGGACGGTAAGGATGGTGGCGGCGTTCTGGTTACCTTGTTGGGTACAGAGGGAGAAGAAGAGTTGATGTATAGGCGTGAAGAAAGAAGGGTATCGCGGGTCAGCCAAGGGAGGACCTTCTGAGTCCTCCCATCGCACTGTGTAGATGCCATCGGTCAGCCTGGGTCTAGTCACAGGCTCGCCCCATCTTAACTCAGCCCCTCTTGGGGACAGATGAGGTTTGTGAGGCTGGCTCACGGCTGTCACTCCTGTCAAGGTGTCTGTGTAGTAAAACAAGCTTCCAGGAACTGTGAGGGCCCCAGCAGCAAGTCCAAACAGCTGCTATGCCCCTTCAATGCTTCTGTATTTCCTACAGGAAGAAGGTCCTGGAGGCACGGCCCAGCCCCACACCTCCTGGACAGGATAGCAGTGTGGGTGTTGTGGGAGTACCTCAGGCCCAGGCTTTACTGGGATTCAGAGGCTTGGGTCGCCAGACTGTGTAAGTGAGATAACTAGCCATGCCTCCTCCCGGAAGCTCACCACTCCCATCGCCCCAGCATCTTGGCTGCTTTTATTCAAGTCTCTGCCCTGTGTAGCTTCTAAGACAGGCCCCAGCTCTTGATTGTGGCTGAGATTATACTGCAAAGGAGGTGGTAGGAGTTTCTGGCCATGGAGGGGCAGAGGCTTCCAGAGTCCATGGCTGTGGCCTTGAGTTGATGGATAAGTTTCTTTCACCCAGGGTGCGACAGAGTCTCTGCAGGAAAGAAAAAATATCACAAAGACAGGCTAAGGGACTGCAGGGTTAGAGGCTGCCTGCCTTCCCTACCTAGGCACAACGCAAGCCCTGGGTACAAATCCAAGACCTAGGCCTAAGTATCCGGGGAGGTCATAGAGGACATGGGGTACCTTTGTTGGAAGCTGCAGCCATGCCTGGGTGTCAAAGGACTAAGTACCACTCCCACGCAGTAACCATATGGCCTTCTGACTTCAGCCTTCCTCCCATTGGCTGCCCTATATATACAGGTCTTTCTAGAATTCAGTGTGTTCAGCCCAAACTTATCCCTGTCCCTGCCCCCACCCCCTCCCCAGGCCACAGGATACCTGGCGGCTGCCCTGGCCCATGAACTCTCCAGAGCTACTCCCAGAGGTGGTTTGGGGTCAGCAGGCATCCGCACCCTGGCAGCACTGCCTGGGAGCACCGTGCTGGTCTTGGCAGCGTCCGAGGCTGAGGCTGGAGCCAGTTTGAGCTGATGACCTGCAGTATGTAACAGAGAAGGGTAGGGTGACCAGGGGCTCCTCTTCAGGAAATCCGGTTTCAGTTTTGCAGAACAAATGGGGAATGGAGCAGGCAGCTTCTCGGAGAGCCCTGGCTCTCCTGGAGTGACCCAGTCAGCCTTGCTAGGGTAGAACCCAAGGATGCTGGGACCAGTCTTCCGGGACAGTGGGGCCCTGGCTCTCCTGGAGTGACCCAGTCAGCCTTGCTAGAGTAGAACCCAAGGATGCTGGGACCAGTCTTCCGGGACAGTGGAGCCCTGTCTTGCAAGCAGGGTCTCAGGCTAAGCAATGCCTTCAAGCACACAAAACATCTGCTAGTCCCTGGAAGCCCAGAAAGCCAGGTGTGCCTATTGGTTCTTATAACTAAAGGAAGGCAGGGAGGATACTGTGAGAGCAGCCCGACCGCCTCATAACAACACACCCCTGGGTCCTAGGCCACATCAAGCCTTTGGGAGTGGACCTGCTGCGAGCTGGGCACCAGCCTCCCAGCAGCCTCCTGCTCCAAGACTGAGTGCTCTCTTCTATAGGCCTGCAAGCTGAAATACCCTCAACCCCTTGGCACATGACAGGAGGGAGAGCATCATGGCCTGGGCATCTGAGCAACACTGGCTTTGTTGCCATTCAGGACCCAGTTGGAACCCTAGCCCCACACATATGGGAGCTGCCCTGAGAGACTCTGGTCCTACCTGGTGGGGGAAGGCCAGCCTGCTGTCCACTAAGACCCAGAGCACCTCAGAGGGACCTGGTAGCTTTCCTTTCCCTTTGTTCTTTCAAGTAATGGGAGGGGAGAAGAGATGGGGGTCGGCTGGACTGTGAGACCCCACCCGGCTGGGAATCCGGGAGCATCCCCGGTGCTTCTAGAGCTCCTAAACGAATGTGCATGGTTTGCCCACGTTTCTCGCGGGGGAGGGGAGCAGCGCCGAGACTGCCTTGGACATAATCTGCCCCAGGGCTGGAGACAGCTGAGGCAGCCAGTAGGAGGGCGGGGGTCTCCTGGCCTCCTGCCAACCGGTTGGCTTGGCAGTGAGCTTTGTGTGGAGGCAGATGCTGCAGCCGCCGGGCGGTGGTAAGCTTTTCTCCCTTCCCTCCCTCTCTCGTGTCTGGGCAGCTCAGTCCCTGCCTCGCCACGGTCACTGGGCACCTTCTCCACCACAGCTCACTAGACAGCGCGGGGGGGTGGGGTGGGGGGGTGACATGTGTGCAAAGGCGGGGGTGGGGCCAGGAGACTGCAGCACCCAGAGATTTGGGGCAACGCGGGCGGGCGGAAAGCGCGCTCCGTGCACACACTCGCTCTCCTTCAAGCGCGCGAGCGCGCAGCCGCAATGCGGGGTCTTTTCGCGCGGCGACTGGTGACGCTGGTCCCGTGGGGTTCCAGTGCGCGCCGGCTGCCGCAGAACGGCGGGTGTTGTTCATAGGAAGACTGCGAAGTCCTTCCTAGCTGGGAAAAGGGACCGGGATGCGCAAAATCGCCGGGATTGCGGGGCTGGTAGCCTTGCTGCCCCTACCAGGCATCGCCCTCCTCCGACTCCGGGGAGCGTTCTTTGCCCCTCCCCTGCCTCTGAGCCGAGGACTGTTTGGGGACAAGAAGTTCGGCCTTTACGGATTTTAAACAATGGGCTTGTTTACCAGATTCAAGGCCAGGTGGGGGCGCCTGGTCCCTCAGCGCAGAGCACTAGCGCCAGGGAGCGATGCGCGTGCACGCAGCAGCTGCGGCTCCGCCTTTGTCCTCCTGGCGATCTTTGTCTCCGCCGCAGTCTTCGTCCCCAAAGCTTCGTCTTTGTCTGCTACGCAGCTTTTGTGTCCGCAGCCCCGCCCAGCAGAAAGCGATTTCCATCTAAGTGGGGTCTGGTGGCGCAGATACCTTATGTCCCCAAACCTCCGCTAAAACAAGACCAGCAGGCGGGAGGGAAGGGGCTTACAGAAGGGGGAAGCGCAGATACCTCAGCCTGGAACCTTCCTGGCTGCCACGCCCTCTCGAGACCTAGGGGGTTTCTTCAGATCAGTTCCCCCACTGGGCGCTCGGAATAAGGCCCTGTCTACCGAGCGATTTCCTTAGTGGAAGAAACGCCGCTTGAAGCCTGAGCGGGCAGGCATCAGCCAGGCTAAGAGGGATGGAAGGTGTATCCCAGCAGGAGAGATCAGAGCCGAGGAAAGCCTCCATCTTTGCCCAGACTCTGAGTACTGCCACTTTCGCCATTTCCACCCGAGGTCCAGATCCAGAACAAGTGCCCCAGGTTATTTGCACCCCAGGACCCCAAGATGGTCAGAACAATAGGGCCTGCAAGAGGGCATTCACTGCTCCAGGCTGGAGGGGGACAAGGCACAGAGGTTTGTTTCTCAGGAGATGGACTGGGTAGGGCTTCTGGGAAGCGTCTCCTCTGCCTGCCAGGGCTCTGCGAAGATCTAAGGCTATCTCGTCTGTATTTGTGTTCACGAGAGAATATGCCCAGGCTACTCACCACTCCAACCCTGGAGCTGAGGACACAGTAGGCAGACGCTCATCTGACCACAGACATTGGGGTACCTCTAGGTGACCTGTGTCCCTGGAAGGGACAGTGAGTAGAACCTGTGAGTGTCTTGTCTTTTTTTTTTTTCTAGTAGCCATCTGATTCTCCCAAAGAGTGGGCCAGGAAGACTCATGGGCTCCCTGCCCCCACTCCTAACCCTGCTGTCTCCTTGAACCTCCCTAAGCCGCTTAGGTTGCTGCACACACTTCTCTGACAGCTAGGAGGGCTGGAATGAGACATGGAGACAGCTCTCCAGGGCTGGTCACCTGGATAAGCCCGATGACTTCACCTCAGGGAGGGAGGGACCTCGCCATCATCTCAGGCAAGGAGGAAGCTGGGGCTGGGAGCTCAAGCTTCGTCATCCCGGTGTCTGCTTCCCATGCCAGCCTCAAGCAGGCCAGAGGGCTCCTTCAGCTCACAGGGCAGGGGAGGCTAGGCGCACACCCCTCTCCTGGCACCCTGGCTTTGGCCTGGCATCCGGAAGACCCGGACCCTATCTAGAGAGACAGAAGAAAAGGGAAGGCCTGGCCTTCTAGCTCAGTCTGGTCTGGCCTGCCCTCTGTGCAGACACATGGGAGAGGTGCAGCTGTGACCAGGTCTGGCCCTGGCATGTGGTTCCCTCCTGGCTGGTGTCTAACTCCAGCCTGTGCCCTCCAGGGCTGGGGGGATCGCATAGGCGTAGATACATACACTGCATACAATCCCCAGACTACTGAAACCGGGGCATCTGGAGGACCCGTGTGCTGTCTGGCTGTGGCACATGCTCCTGAGAAACCTCTGGGACACTTCTTCACAAGATACACGCTAGGGCCTTCTGATGAGTGCACCCAGGTCCTCCTAGACCAGTCTGTGTTCCTCGACATCCAGCCCACCTTGCCATCATTCATCCTCATGGGGCCTGCTGGGTGGCACGGAAGAGAACAGACATGCGTAAGCGGAGACCCAGAACAGTCCAAAGGCGTCATTTTCCCCACACGATGGATGAAGAGACAAAAGTTAACCTTGTAAACCATGGCGTAGAATACGATGTTCACAAGAATTTGCTTTTTAAGAAGGGTCTCACTATGTAGCCTTGGCTGACCTGAAACTCAGTACTTAGACCAGGCTGTCCTAAACTCATAGAGACCCACCCGCCTCTGCCTTCCAGCAGTAGGATTAAAGGTGTGCGGCGCCACGCCCAGTCTGCAAGATTTTTAAAGAAAAGTTAGTCACGGTTAATTGTCTTGACTTAGCATCTCTGAGTGCTAGTATGGTTAAAGTCTGGAAGCCCTTGTCCTGCTTCTGGGGACACTGTAGACTTCACTGTCACCAGAGCTGGCCAGTGAGTGAACAAGGACCCCATCTGGAGCTTCCCAGGTCTAGCCGGAACGGACTTTGAGCAAACAAATGCTGATTTCTATCCAGGTGTCTGCTTTTGTGTATAGCAGTGACCTTGGGGACACAGGTGGCAGCAGCAGAATTGGTTTGAGTTGGTCTTATGCGAGGGGTCTTGGAGCTGAGCGGCAACAGGAGTGTCCCCTCTGAGCCTAGCCAGTGTCTTGTTCCACGTGTCTCGTCACCGCCAGTCCGTCCCGTTCTCTGTAGGGTTCACATCACAGGTTGTGGAGGGCTAGTTGCTCCGACCAAGAGCAGCTGGGGTCGGGCGGGGCATTTATTTGGTTTCTACTTCCAAGTCACCATCCATCATCAGGAGCATGTGCCGCAGCCAGACCGCACACGGGTCCTGGATCCCCCGGTTTCTGTAGTCTCAGGATTGTATGCAGCATCAGCAGGAGCTCAAGTAGGAGCTAGAAGCAGAAACCATGCAGGAAGGCTTCCTGCTGGCTTATGTTTAGCTAGCTTTCCTTCCAGCCCAGGACCACCTGCCCAGGAGCTGATGTAGCCCACAGTGGACTGGGTGCTCCTACATCAATTATGAGTCAAGACAGCCCTGTACAGACATGCCCGCAGGCCAGTCTGATCTGGGAAGTCCCTCAACCGAGAGTCCCCTCTCAGGTGACTCTAGGCTGTGTCCAGGTGGCAGTGAAAGCCAGCTAGGACAGGGGTGCCTGCATGGGCCCTGCACTCTGTGGCCTGCTTTCTTACTACTGAGGGTGAGAATCATGTCAGCACCCAGATGGAGGAGCATCTGGGCTGTTAAGGATCCTAGTCAGCCATCTGTTGCCCCTGTACCTGGCACCAAGGGAAAGTGGTTTGCTGCTGTTTACATCTGGAGCCACACTAAGTGGGTTTGTACAGAGCTCCTCTCTGCGACTAGAGCAAGTCTCCTTGGAGCTGCTTCGCCTTGCCTTCTTGTGACAGTAGCAAGTGATGACCTGCCAAAAAGGGTCATTTAGGGAAAAGGCCAGCCCCTTCAGAGGCCAAAGAAACAACCATTGCTACCTCCGCCCACCTACTTGGGTAGAAAGCAAAGAATGCATCATGGAGGAAGGCCGAGAACCTGATAGGTGCAGGCTTCATTGCAGACCTGGCTCCCAGCCACTGGGGGATGAGCTGGCTGACTCCCAAGCTGGTGGGAGAGAGGCACTGACCCTCCCGTGGACACCGTCAGCAACCCCTCTTACCGAATTCTTCTCCTGTGACTACTATATAGCTCCCATAAATGGCAGAAATGAAGGTCTGTGGTCCAGGGCAGCAGGGCCAGGCTCCCCTCAGAGGATGGAAGAGTCCCCTGTCACCCCCCAATCCCCCCCCTCGTGGCAGATGGCTGCTAACATCCTTTGTCATGCAATATAATGTGACCATATAGCCCAGTTCCTTCTTCGTGTCTCCATTTTCATGTGAGGAGCCCCGCCTAGTCCACTGTGAACTCATCTTGACTAGTCATCTCTGCAATTTGGCCCTCTTTCTAAATCAGACCACACATGCCGACGTTCGTACAGGCAGCCCAGCGCACCAGCTCTTGAGGTCTTGTGTCCAGAGGCATCCAGAAGAACGATAGTAGTTTGCATACGATATCCTCGCCAGTCTCTGACACTTGAATACTTGGTCTTCTGATTGTTGGAGCTATTTGGGGAGCCTTAGGAGGCAACAAGGGGCCTCGTTGTAAGCATTGCTACTAGGGATGGACTTGGAGGTTTTAAAGGCCTGAGTCGTTCCCAGTGTGCCCTCTGCTTCCTTGTTGAGATGTGAGCTCTCGGCTGCCCCGCCACCGCGTCTGCTTGCTGCCACACTTGTCCCTGCCATGGGAATGGACTCTTGCTTCCTCTGGACCATAAATAAACACCTTGCACGAGTGGCACTTGGCCGTGGCGTTTGATCACAGCATCAGAAAGGCAGCTGATAG